AAAGACCACCATGTTGAAATTAGCAGTCTACCTAATCAGAAAACACGCCCTTGAAACATCAACCCTTTCAAAGCACCATGAAAAGTTTTTGAAAACTGAAAGTGCGATGACTCTATCGAATAAAGAATGAAAAGTTTTTGGAAACGACTAGTTAGAGAATACTGTCTGAAGAAATCAGGGATCAGTGTCTGTCATGGTTTGACAGAATCATCTAGAAAAAGAATAGAGACTTATCCAAAATCATTCCTCTCTGAGGAGCAAAAAATGGTCACAGGCTCGTCGGAGGCCAACATCGCAACCAAAGGCAGCTGCTGGAAGCGGACTTGCTTGCGAAGAGGATTATGACCCTTGCCGCAGCAGCCAACATCGCATAAATCATTCTGAGATGTCAAGGAGTCAGACATCATTAATCTGGATTTTCGGTCCCTGACCCCTATAACCCAGTTGACGGTGACAACAGCAACAACATTTCTCCGCAAACAAAAACAGGATATATAATGGATGAGACATCACATGATATATCTAGCACATGGTGATTAATTCATTGCTTCTGCCTCCAAGAGATTTATCCATATTTTAAATCCTTTCATGCCTAAGTAAAATTGTACCCTGAACGCCGTCGTTGTATTGAAATGTTCGTTTGCCAAGAACAAAACTTTCTCGTATAAAGAATCGGAAAAGATGGTCACCTTGAACATAAACACGTAACTATGAAGAATTAACAACTGATCGAAACCATAAAACACTGATTTTCGTGTATCCGTTCAAAACCTGTTCCTGATCGGGGTTGCTCAGGTAGTAGAGCGTCGAACTTAGAAAAGAGAAGTCTTTGGCTGGAGCCCCGGTAGGATCACGCCTTTCTTCCGCCTGAGATTGATAAATGAGTAACACTGTGGGAAGAAATCAGGATACTACACACTCTGCAAAAGGCGTAGCTGCTGTCTGCCTTTAAAATAAGGCATTCCTGCCTGATGACATGGAAATGGAGATCAGGGCGCCACCATTAATTTCATGAAAGAAAGGGGGCCAGAAAAGAATCTATCATAAGGGCGTAAGAAAGACCGATATTCCAAAGGTTACAAACTTTCCTTCTTTCAAATCTAACAAGACAGATCTGCGTTTGAGAGTCATCTTAGGGCCTACAGACCTTCACTGTGATTCAGCGCAAGTCTGTATTTAGCAAAGGTAGACCGACAACGACTACCATCTGCTTATTCAGTAATATAAGACATACACGTTAACGGGGTTATTAAGTACCAAAATACACTACGTCAAAATTCTGGATCGAATTATTTTTATGTACTCTATATTATAAACTAATCTTATGATCAGTGAACACCTTATGCATGTATCACACGGCACTGAAGACGAAGTACACGCTGGTCGATTTTATACTTATAAACCATAGAGCCGAAACCTGTTTCAATCTTTCAGGTTACGGCGAATAACACAAAATATCTGATCTTTTAGGA